ATTCTCACAATTGGCAAATGAAAAGAAAAAAAATGGGTAATTCATGCAATTCACACTGAAAATTTTTTTTTAATAGAAAATTCACAATTCTTCTGTTGTTTTAAAGGTTTTTTTCTTTAAAAATTATCATATATATTATCGAATTTATTTGGCATTTTTATCCTTTAATGCTCTGTTTGAGAAGTTTTATCTTTGGAAAAGGTGATGTTTCTGATATGAAATCCAAAGACTTAATAAGTAAATTTTGAAAAATTTTTCAAGATTTATAACTTTGTATAATTTAATTAAATGAAAAAAAAATTTATATAATCCATTTATTAACTTTAAAATAGCCTAAAGTTTAAGCCAAAAATTTTAGATAAAATTTGGCATTGTTAAATATGCATTATGATAATCAAATCATATATATATTTTTTTTCAATTTTAGTAATGTTAAATTTCCTTTAGATCTTCTTTATAAAAATTTGGATTAAAAAAATTTTTTTAAAGGTATTATTAATTAAATTGAGCTTTTGAGGCATTCCAATATATAAAATTTTCTTTTCAGATGTTCTATTATGGGAGATATTCTTTGTTATATCAAATATGATCTAACTTGCATTTTCTTCAAGTAGATTTTCATGAAGAAAATGATTAAATCTTACAATTTTTATTCAGTTAGAGCATAAAAATATATTCACATCTATCAATTTATTGAAAAAAAATAAATAAATAAAACTAAACATGAAAATATACCAAAAAAAAAATAATAAATTCTTAAGCTTGAATTTTCTGCTAGAGAAAACCAAATTATATATTTTTTTCCTTATTTTCTTCACTTCAAATCAACATCAAGTCAATAGAATTTTACAAGTAAAAAAATAAACTAAAAAAAGCATTTAAAAATTCAATAAATTCTATTTTTTTTTCTTAAATATTTTCTTTTTCTTGTTGCAGTTTTCATAAGGAAGTGAGGCAAAATTTGATTTATAAATCTGTTAGGTTATATCCATTGGAAAATGCTATTATTTGATATTTTTAGTGTGTTTTATTCGCTTATTTTCCAACTCTCCGCCAGCATTTATTATTCTTTATTATTTATTTATTTATGCAGTCGTCCATGCGACTTCAACTGCGTGTGTAGGAATATATTGTGCGGTCACGTAACCTTTCTATGGGAAATCGAAAATATTCGTTTCGGTTATGATATTTTCTATAATGAAAAATTTATGTGCCAGTACAAATATAGAATAGATACATAATGATTCAATGTATCAACTGAAAAATTCCCCCGAAAAGTAACTTAAAATTGTTTCTGCACGTAAAAAAAACACTGAAATTGCAGTACTTTGTCACTACAAACCATTCAAAAACACACACAAGTTCAAATTGTTTTTTTCATAATAAAAAAAAACATTTTGGTACCCTAAAATAGCATTTTTTTAAAATTACTTTACATTGCATTTTTTTCAAAGTAACCTCCGAACAACGGACATTTTTTATGTTCTCGTCAATTGCCGTTGTTCAGAGGTTTGACTGTACTTAGAATAACGCTTTGACACAATTAAAATTAGCATTTTATGTTGGTTTTCGACAAAAATAACATATTAAAAATGATTTAAAATTATTTTTTTAACCAAAAAATCAGTTTAAATTGTAGTATTTTCGTTATTTTACACTCGCTCCATTTATATCTAAAAATTCGGTTTTTAATGCAATTAAAATATTTTAGTGTGATAAAATTATAAAAATGCAAGCAAATTAAATTGCAGGCATAAGTTTTTAGAATTATTACTCATTAAAACAGCTTGCATGTTAATTTGATTTGCATTAAAACATAAGTTTTAAAGAAAATTTGAGAAAAAAAAAAAATAGTGATAAATAGTTGAAAATTTTGTTTTAAAGTGGCTTTTTCTTTTATGAACAGGAAGGAGACTTTAAATTATTTTTAGTGTATTTTTAGATGATATAAAATTCTTTCTTTTTTGGTCACGTCTAATCTAAAAAGACTAAAAAATAATTAAAAATTCTTGTTCATGATAAAAGCCACTCTCAACATGCTAAAAATTACTCTAAAACAAATATTACTCGCTGCGTTTTTCAATTTTTTTTAATAAAAAATTAAGTTTTAATGTAATTAAAACAATATGCCAACCTTTTAAAGGAATAATAATTTAAAAAATCATAGAAAATTTGCATTTTGTTACATATAAAAACGCCAGAAAGAGTTGAGGCATCAAACCTCCAACTTAAACTGCGATATTTTCAATTATTTGACACTGGATTTTTTAAAATACAGTCGACCCCCTATAACATTGTTGATTTTTCCGTTTTATATGAATTCCATGTTGTACGAGTTACTTAGATTTTACAAATACGTGAGCCGTTCACAGCTCGGCACACGTATTTGTAAAATCTAAGTGACTCGTACAACATGGAATTCATATAAAACGGAAAAATCAACAGTGTTATAGGGGGGTCGACT